GCCGCCTCCAGGAAGCGAATAATTAAAAGGCTCTTGGAAGAAAGAGCTGGAGGGAGGTCTGGGTGTGTGCGTTTGGGGGGGGGGAGGGCCCCAGGAGGCCAATTCTGCCAATTTCTGCTGGTTTCCGACAGCCTGGGTCACTCCTGCATCTCCCCTCCCCCTCATCCCTTCACCATCCACAGCCCCCCCATGCTCCTGCTGGGGTGCTCACACCAGCAAGTCTGCTGTAGTTTGCAGAGTCTCTTCCCCCAGCATGGCTGTAGGTCCCCAGGCAGCCCTCTGCTTTCTCCTTTGCCCTCTGAGACCGACTTCCTCCAGCACAGCCAACAGCGGTAGCACCGAAGCCAGAACTTTGAATTTCAGACGGAGATGATAACCATCACCCTGCCCATCACCCTGCGTAGCTTACTCTCTCCCTGGTGGCCACTGACACTATTTCTACGCTACTTTGTCTGGTCCCTCCATCATTCGGAGCTGTGTGTCTTTCCAGCCGTGGAAACCGCAGCTTCCTTCCCTAAGACCACCTTTGTTCTGGGATCCAGCCCCCAACTTCTGGCCTTTACAGAATGCCTTGTCATGTGGGACTTTTTAATATGAAATAAAAGGAAGCCCTGGCCCTCCAGTCTAGCCACTTGCGAATGAAAGAGAATCTGAAGTGAGAATTGAAGAAACACCTTTATGGCCTCATTAACTCCTTGCCCCCGAAATGAAAGAAGCTGTGAGGTGGAGAGAGGGAAGTTATTAAGGTTGGATAGAAAAGTCCGGAGGCTTGAAACAATCGTGGAGAGCTGGAAACCAATGAGTCAGCTTTCGAAGCGGTTCCTAGAATGTGGGCAAAGTTGTCCAGGGGCTTTTCAAACAAGTCTAGACATGGGCGGGGCCAGCGAGGTAGAGCAGCGGGAAAGGGGCTGGCCTTGCATGTGGCTGACCCAGGTTCGATCCCCCAACATCGCTCGTGGGCTCTGGAGCACGGCCAGGTGTGAGCTCTGCACACAGAGCGTGAGGAAACCCTGAGCACTGCCAGGGCAGGCTCAAGTCAAAACCAAACCCAACAGAAAAGAAGTATAGGCGGGTGTAGCATTTTGCCAAGGATAGCATGGCAAGGGTTCTAGAAGTTGGAGCTGCTGTTGTCGGGGCATTTATTCTGGTGAGCCCCATATAGCAGGCCCCTCTGCCTGGGACCTCTTTCTGGCCCTCTGGGTAGTCTGGAGGCTTCTGAAAGTGTTCCCCTGGATTTAGATCTTCTGAGCAGAGACATACCACGAAACCCGGGTATTCTGAACGCTGGAGTCCCGAGGTTCCAAGGTCGCTTCCAAGTGGCAGGGCTTCTCTTTGGTTCTCAGGACTCAGTTGGTCTTGGTGTCCTCGAATAAGCCAAGGGCAGAGGCTCATCCCCAGCAGGGTTTCTGTGGGTTTCTGGGTGTCACAGGTTCTTGTCGAAGGTCCCCCCGCTGCGTGAGGGCTGCGTGTGGGCGCGTACCCAGCACCATGCAGTGGACTTGGTGGCCACCCTGGCGGTGGACCTGGTGGCCACCCTGGCCGGGGAGCCCATCCCTTTTTTGTCTGCACCATTGTTTCTTAACTGCTGTGTGCCTCAGTTGCCCTGTTTCTAACGCTGAGATATTGGTGATATCCATCTGCTGGCCTTGCTTTCAAGCTGACAGTCTCTCTGCGACAAGGACTTAGAACACTATGGCCCGTGTTTCACACTTAAACACGATTAACCATCATTAGCATTTCATTTGGGGGATGCCTTTCAGTGCTCAGGGCTTCTCCTGGCTCAGTGCGCAGGGCTCGATCCTGGTGGTACTCGGGAAGGGCCAGGTTGGCACGGGACAAGCACCTTCCCCTCCGCACGGTTGACTGGCCTGAGCTGCTGCTACCGTATATTCATTCCTTCTGCTGTTACTGTATGTTCATTCCTTCCAGATACAACCCAGGGCCCTGAGATGTGGCTGTTGCGTAAAGCATGAGACAGATATGAGCTCAGTCCCCACGGGCTTGCCGGTGGGGTCACGACACGCGGCTTCCAGGCCTCCTCTGATGGCCGCAAGTGGCTGCCATGTGGCCCTTAGTCAATGGTGACCAGGACAGCAGCTGGGCTCTGGGGTGATTTGGCCTCAGCACTTTGGCTGGGCCGCGTGTCGCCCATGCCAGCCCTGCGTCCTGCCCCACCCCACCGTGCCTGACTCTACCTCATTCCCCTTGGTCGGTAGCGGGAAGTGTGACCAGAGGCCGCGGGCTTCCGACTTCGGCAAAGTCTTCTTGGTCCTGATTGGACCTGCCCTGGCTGGTGTCAGGGACTAACCTCCCTGCAGCTGCAGAAGCTCCCAGGACCAGTGGGGACCCAGCCGTGGGAGGGAGGAGCGACTGGCCCAAGGGGGGGGGGGGGACCAATTTAGAGCAGTCAGTGTATCCCGTATCCACAGCAGCAGGGCATCCCGTGCCCACAGCAGCCAGGCCCGCTCTACCCCACAGAACTCCAGGAGACGGGGCTTAGAGTCCTGGTTTCATAGCTGTCCTGGGGAGGGAGATCTTCTCCCCCTCAGTTGCCCTCACCCGCTCCACACGTCCCTCAGAAGAGCCCAGCGTTGGCGCCCTGTGCCGCCTCTCCTGCCTGGAGAACGTGGCACTGGCCCCCTGCCAGGGGCTGAGGCCTAGCGAGATCTCCTTCCTGGGCTCCCTGTGCGGAAACCCACGGCCGGGTGCTTTGTACTTGTCCACACTCTCCTGGCCTGCTGCCCACTGAGCAGCGGCTACAGTCCAGAAAGCCCGGCAGCCCCTTCCTGGCCCCCCCCTACCCCCTTGCTCTTATTATCTTTTAAGTCAATGAGGATCTCAATGAGTGTTTTTCTTTTTTATAATATTTGTCCCACCCTTGGGAAATAAAGTCGAGGCCTGTTCTGCCGTTCATTCATCCCCTGCAACCCCCTGAGCCATTTATAATCTCCGTTTATCTCTAAGCCGCTGGGCAGAATGGAGTCAAACCTTCCCTCTCCTCTCCCGCTCATCCCTCGGGGCTCTTCCTTCCCCAGTCTTGGTTGCTTCTGGATTTCCCAGACCAGTTGTCTCTTGTCGCCGACTTGTCTGTCTCCATCCTAGTGACTAATGGAAACACAGACCTGGAAAGATCAAAGCTCGGCCACTGATGGTCAGAAGTCCTGGTGTTAGATGGATGATGTTTTTTTCTTTTTTCTTTTGGCTAATGCTCTGTCGTCAAGGTGAAAATAATTACTGTGTCTTCTTTGTGAGAGTACGTTTGAGCAGCCGGCTAACGTCAGCAGGCAGGGAAATCTAAGCGCCCTCCCTCATCCCCGGTTTACATAATTTCCAGCATTTCTCAGCGAGCAGCATATGCTTTTTGATTTTCCGTTGGTGTGCATCTTGCCCTAATGACGGCTGATTATCTCCGAACAGCTGCATTGATTGATGGTGTGTAAAGAGGACGCGCAGTAAGTAATTGCAGTTGGCTTAGCGGAGCCTCAAGCATTCTTCCACTTGCTTCGTAGCCGGGGGAGTGTTTGCTTCTGAAGGGCAGCAGGGAAGTGGGGGACTCCTCGCCTCAGTGCCCGCCCACTGCCCAGTGAGCAGACTCCCCCGGGCCTTCGCGCGTCATCTGGGGCAGCATCCCTGCCCTGCACTGGGATTGTTCGCTCGTGGGCCCAGCTCCCCAGCTGGACGGGAAGCTGTGGACAGATACGGCACACAGCTCCTCTCAGAAACGGCCGCCCTGGGGCCAGGGGCCCTGAGAGAGACCCCAGGAAAGGTTTGGGGACTGACTGAAAGGCTGCTAAGAGCTTAAAGTTTGTTGGTTTGTTTTTGGACCACACCTGGCAGTGCTCAGGGCTTACTCCTGGCTCTGTGCTCAGGGATCCCTCCTGACAGGGCTCGGGGACCCCAGGGATGCTGGGGATCGGACCTGGGTCAGTCACGTGTAAGGAAAGGGCCCTAGCCACGTGTAAGGAAGGGTCCTACCAGCTGTGTGTTTGGCTGCAAGAGACTGCAGATCTGACCAAAGTGGCGAGAACACACTGGTTGATTCATCTTCTCGAGGCCATCTGAGTATCAGTGTTGGCCAGCCCTGGGTTCGGAGGCCCAGTATGTCTGCCCTGACATGTGTGTGATTTCCTTGGCCCTTTTACTTGTGGGCCACAAGGGCTGCTGCGGGAAGGACGAGCCAGCCCCATGGTATCTTTCATTTTATTCCTGTTTATGTCTGTCATGCCAGGGATGGAACCCAGGACGGGTTCTCTTTTGGGAGCGACATCCCTGGGTCACAGTGATACTGCAGTAACTTTTTTTTTTTGTTGTTTTGGTGCCACCCCTAGCAGGACTCACTGCGGTTCCTGGCCCCCAGCTCTGGAGTGAGCCCGAGGGTTCTGCTGTTGGATCAGGGATGGCGGCCGGCTGGGCAGGCACTTTACCCCGTGGGCCATCTTTTGCCCAAGTACTTATTAGCAAATCAGACTTCAACAGTTGTCCCCACCCCAAACATCAGCAAACTTTCTTCCCTTGACAATTCATGTCCCATGAGCACTTGCAGTTAAAAGGCTATTGGGGGTCATCGCTGCCTTGAACAGGCGAGTGGACTCAGTGCTATAACAAACCAACTTTGACGGCTCTAGTAGAATAGACCATCACTGCACTGTCCTCCCATTGTTCATGGATTTGCAGGAGCGGGCCCAGTAACATCTCCATTGTGACACTCGCTGTTACTGTGTTTGGCATATCGAATATGTCATTTATTTGCCTTGTGGGGGAGATACTCTGGGTAGCAGCTTGCCGGGCTCTCCGAGAGGGGCGGAGGAATCGAACCTGGGCCAACCGGGTTGTCCTCCGTGCAAGGCAAACGCGCTACCCGCTGTGCTATCGCTCCAGCTCTTAGACGTTTCTATGTTTTTTGCTTTTTGTCTCTCTCTCTCTCTCTCTTCTTTTTTTATTGTTTTGTCTTTCTTTTGTTTAGACATTTCGTGTTTGCGCACACCAAGCCCTCCCCGGTCTCCCCGAGGCGTGGGAGTTTTGCTTCAGAGAACCAGAGGTGGTTCGGAGACCCGGATTTTGAATCCTGCCGCTCTCCTTTGCTCTCCCTTAGGCTAATCAGCGTTGGAGGAGGGGCGTGGCGCAGGTAGGTTGGTCCTTTGTTGCTGGTCAGTTACTACTCCTCACTGTCCATTGGCTGCTGCTGCGTCACGTGCCGCCACGGAGGCGGGCGAGGCGGCCCCGCCCCTGGAGGGCCAGGCGTGGATTTCAGGATCCGCTGTCTCTGCCCGCTGGTCCCCCGCAGGATCAGCAATCTCTTGGCAGGGAAGCGAGAGCGAGGACGGAGGGCAACGGTGGGTGTCTGCCTCGAAGCAAACAACGCGCTAAGAAGGCTGTCGCCCGAAATAGCCCGAAATAGCCCGTATCCCCGGCTCCTCTGGTTGAAATCCCTGCTTCTCTTTCCACCTTTCGGGAGCAGGGTCAGAGCATCCTGCCCAAGGGCCGACCCCACCCTGACCTGGGGCGCGCTCTGCGCAGCTGCTGAGGATGAGCTTGAGGGCTGGAGGGGACCCTGGAAGAACGGCCAGCAGCCCTTGCCTGCCCCTGGAGCTGGGGAGACTCTTCAGTCCCTCGTCCAGCCCACATCCGCATCTGCAGAGGACACCGGGAGTGACCTCTGCTCCCACGCGAGGAGTCCTTTGGGACCCGTTCCCCCACATCCGGCTGTTTGTTCTCAGCCCGCCTTCATCGGCTGGGTGGCCGCGCTTTGTTCTTGTGCAGTTTGCCAGAAGGTTCTGTGGCAGGTGTTTCTGCGTCCTGGCATCCTCAGGATGACCTTCTGCACCCCCACCCCCGCTTATTCATCCCTGGCGGGGGGGTGGTGGTGTTTGGGGGAGGCCCAAGAGCTGTGTGAGTGCGAGGTTGAGTAGGAGGGCAAGAGAATCCAGTATTGGGGGATTCGCCCACCTTTCGAACAGAGAACGCTTCCTGGGAAGGTGGCATGGGGGGAAGGGTTGGGCCACACCCACCTGTGCTCAGGGGTCACTTCTGGCTGTGCTCAGAGAACTGTCCGTGGGCTGGGGATAGAGCTGGGGTCTGCAGCACGCCAGGTGAGCCTCTTCGCTGCTGTCCTCGCTGTGGTGGTGGGAGGTGGTAGCCAAGCTGTGGCCAGGCAGGAGTTAACCAGGCCCCAGGCTTGGGGCCAGCACCGGGCAGCCCGGGAGGACCAAGGCCGAGGGCTCAGAGCCAGGGGGGAGGGCTTGGCTGTGGGACTGTCAGAGGCCACGTAGGACACCATGCCGTCACCTCGCTCGCCCTGTCGCTCTGTCTCCGACGCTTCTCTGGCCCTTTGCCTGGGCATTACTCAGCCTGTAAAAATAGAGGCTGGCACCGCACGCCAGCCTGGAGTTGGCGGGGAGAGCCAGGGCTGTCATTCCGCGGCGGTCGGGCATGTGCCAACGAGCTCTTTCGTGGAGCCTCGAGGATGGGGCTCTGCAGCCGGCGCGTCAATGCCTGGGGTGGGGTTTGCACCCCCCTTTCCGCTCCCACCAAGACAGCTGGCCTTGTCGTGGCTCAGGAAATGCCGGTCTGGGCACACTCAGACCAGCACCGTTCATGCTGGCGTCCACTGTGGGCGTGGTGTCCAGGCAACGTGAAGTGTTGCCCGTTAGGGGGGGCACACCCTGGGAATGCAGAGCCTTGGGGACCGCCAGACCTTTGCTCTGGGTCCCCCCAGGAAACGCGAGCAGAGACTGAGTCTGGCACAGTCGCTGAGAGGCCAAGGGCAGTGTCCTTCAGTCTGTGCCCAGCGACATGGACAGTGCCGAGGACGTGGACAGTGCGGAATAGGGCAAAGAGGTGGGCCCGGAGATGGCGCCGAGGGTCCCCTGAGCCAGTTGTGCCTTGTCCCCCACCAAAGGGCAAGTTACAGGATTGTCACTACCCTAAGTGCTTGCCCTAGTCCCTTCCTACCCTGCAACGTGCATTTCCCATTTTGCAGCAAATGCATTCATTTCTTTATTTGGGGGCCACACCCGGCAGTGTTCAAGGCTGACGATCACTTCTGATAGGGCTCAGGGGGCTTATGGGGTGCTGGGAATTGAGCCCAGGTCAGCCACATGCAAGGCAAATGCCCCACCCGCTGGCCTATCACTCCAGTCCCAGGAGGCAGGAATTTGGGATTCATTTTCATTTCTTTCTTTTATGTATTTATTGTTTGGTTTTGGGCCACACCTGGTGATGCTCAGGGCTTACTCCTGGCTCTGTGCTCAGGGACCACTTCTGGCGGTGCTCAGGGGACCATTTGGGGTGCTGGGGGTCAAATTCATTGCTCAACCTGCTGTGCTATATCTCTCCAGCCCTATTTGTTCATTCTTTTTTGTTTTTTCATTCGTTCTTTGGGCCATACCTGGAGATGCTCAGGGGTTACTCCTGGTTCTGTGCTCAGGAATAACTACTGGTGGTGCTCGGGGATCGAACCTGGGTCGGCCGTGTGCAAGGCACGTTCTCTCCCCGAGGCAAGTACTATCTCTCTGGCTCTATTTGCTCATTTTGGGCGGTGCAGTGTGTGTGCTGAATGAATGAATCCTGACTCGCATGGAGCAGGAGAAACCAGGACTCAGAGAGAGGAAGGAACTTAGGAGGAAAAGGGAGCCAGGCAGTGCTCTTGACCCTGCCGCCTTGGGAATGGGGTCCACGCCAAGGTATCACCATCAGATTTGTAGACCCCGCTTGGTCCAATACTCTGGCCTAGGAAAACCTACTGGCTAGGTCACCAGGAATTCAAGGGGATCCATCTTCTCGCAGGGCCCTGGGGGTGGGACGGACATACAGGCATGAACCAGAGACATAGCACAACTGTTAGGGCACTTGGCTGTGGCCGACTGGGTTCAATCCCCCCATCCCATATGGTCCCCCGGGAGGAAGCTCTGAGTAACACCTCGTGTGGCCCCCAAACCAACCAACCAACCTTCTCTTGTCCTGCCTGGATCCTTGTGGCAAATGCTATTTCTTCTTCTTTCTTTTTTTTTGGTCACACCCGGCGATGCTCAGGGGTTACGCCTGGCTCTGCACTCAGGAATTACTCCTGGCGGTTTTGGGGGGACCATATGGGATGCTGGGAACTGAACCCAGGTCAGCCGAGTGCAAGGCAAACGCCCTACTCTCTGTTCTATCGCTCCAGCCACACAAATGCTATTTCTTTTTCTTTCTTTCTTTCTTTTTTTTGGGGGGGTCACACCCGGCAATGCTCAGGTCACTCCTATCTCTGCACTCAGGAATCGCTGCTGCCGGTGCTCAGGGAACCATGTGGGATGCTGGGAATCGAACCCGGGTCGGCCACGTGCAGGGCAAACGCCCTCCCCGTGTTGCTACGGCTCCTTCCCTGACTGCTGTTTCTGCGCCGCCTTCCCCTTGGCTCCCGACTGTGCTGGAACCTTCTTGGACTCCCTCTGCTCCCGCAGGAAGTAGTCTGACGCCAGCCCCACCCTCCACCCAGTTCTCAGCTGAGTCAGCCCCACATCACCGTCCAGGCCCGGGACCCTCCCTGGGGCGCCTCCGCTGGGTCCTCCCTCCCACCCCTTCCCCCCTCTCGATTTCTAGCAGTGTCCCCCTCTTCCCAGAAGCCCTCTTGGCCCCTCCCAGCAGAGCCCTGCCTCCTCCCTCTGCCTTCCTCTCAGTGTCCCTGAGGTTCTAGAGCAGGGATGCAACTTTGCTGAGGGGGGCAGGGGTCTCCAGCAGTAAACTGAGTTTGATCTCTCTGACGCGTCAAGTAAAAACTCATTTGTACTGTGTTTTGAAAGAAGGGCACCCTTTGTTTTGTTTTTGTTCGGGGGCCACACCTGAGGGGGCTCTGGGTTTACTCTTGACTTTGCGTTCAGGGCTCACTCCTGGTGGACTCAGGGGACCGTATGGGGTGTTGGGGCTGGAACCCGGGTTCAGTGTGCCGTGCAGGTGCCCTCCCCGCTGTACTATCTCTCAGACCCTGAAGGGGATGCCCTTTCAACAACCCTGGTCTCTGAATTTATCATGAACCTGCCTTGTGACTTCTGCCTCATTACGCTGTTTAAAAATCATTTATGTGGGGGCTGGCATGATAGTACAGCAGAAGGGCATTTGTCTTGCATCCATATGGTCCTCCGAGCATCGCCAGAAGTAATTCCTGAATAAGAGCCAGAAGTAACCCCTGAGCATCACCAGGTGTGACCCAAAAAGAAAAAAAAATTCTCTGTATTAAACAGCTTTGCTTTCCCCCGATTTGAAAAATGAGACGTTTGCTTAAGATAATTTGGTAAATGCAGAAAATTATAAATGATAGAAGAAGAGTCCTAAGACTCTTCTCTCTCCCGTCCTTCCCCCTTTGATTTATTTCAAATTAGGGCGGGGAGGGGGTGTTGGGAATAGAACTGAGGCCGCGTACAGGCAGAGTCTGCACCCTCACACTGAGCTTCACCACCCACCCCTCCGCCCATTCGTTTTTAAAAATAGCCAGAGATCCTCAGCACCACCAAAACAAATGCATAAATAAAAATAGCAGTACGTTCACAATTCCAAAAATATTCACCCGAACGTCTCACCCCTGTCTCGAACCACGTTCTTCCCTTCGCGAGCTTGTCTGCTTCGCAGTGTGCAGGGGTCCAAACTCCACAGGCTGCCGTACAGAGCGTGTTTGTTTTCCCTTCTCCAGCCAGCTCCCCCCACCCTCTACACACTGTCATTCGTAATCTGAGTCTCCTGGGTATTCGCACACGTCACGTTGTAAAAACACAGTGTTGCACAGATGGGGGAATCTGGAGGAGCCCCAGTAGAGACTCTGCCGGTGGTAGCAGGGGCCCGTCTCCTTTCCCGCCTCTCCTTTCAGCCCTTTCCACGTTTCCTTGAGATCCCCTCTGCTTTACCCACGTGAGAGTTCACTGTGTCTAGTTTGCTGACACCTGCACACTGCATCGTTCATCTCTTTTTGTTTCTCTGCTTGGAGGCCACGCCCAGCAGTGCTCAGGGCTTACTCCTGGCTCTGTGCTCAAGGGAAACCATGTATAGCAGTGTCAGGGGTTGAATCAGACCTGGCCATGTGCACAGCCAACATCTTAACCCACTGGACTATTTCTCTGGTCCCAGAAAGTAGTCACTTATTTATATTTTTAAGGG